TTCCGCAGGTCCGTGGCACGCGATTTGACCATTCGCGTCTTCTTGGGACTTTAATTAGCCTAGAAATTAATTAAAAACTCATTTTCAATTACGTTTTTCCCTATATTTTCCACTTTCTTTCTTGGGTTTTCCCTATTAGAGGGATTTGGTTACGTGCCAAATTATTTTTTCTCGAATATCTGTGGAACGGTGCAGAGTTAAAATTCGAGACGCGTATCCTCGGATTCCAAAAATTTCTCATCCATCGGTACCGTTCTCATTTTCGTACGACTTTAATCTTTCGAGATATTAATTAAAAACTGCAGAAACGTTAATTTCTGCGCTCATTTTTCCGAGTGGCAACAATAAACTATCGGCGACACACACTTTAGCCGCTTATATATATATAAAGATGCACTTTATTCAAGGCCAGGGCATGAGCCGATGCATCAAATAAAGTCACTCGGGCCGCAGAATTTATGGACAGCAAATTTTTTTGAATTTAGAGAAGCACCAAACAGGAAAATTTAGGGCTGGCAATATGTTTAGAAATTAGGGAAGGCACTGGATAGCAGAATTTAGGGGCGGCAAAATTTTTCAATTTTAGAACAGCAGAATCTAGGGCTTGCAGAGGTTGCAAAGGGTGGCAAAATGCTTAGAGTCGGCCCTGAATATATTTCGTAATAATAGTATTATGAACATTTCTGTGATGAAGTTATCTTATTTTATCTTATCATAATGAGATTCATACTACGTAGCCCAGATTCATGTTAAAGCGTATTTTTTTATTGTCTCCATTTTAACGTAAATTTCTCTTTTGGCCACATTCTATACATAAGAGAAAATATCATTCAATAGGAGCTGTATTTCCTATATTTCTAAAAAGAATAAATTCTATAATATTTTGGTAAAAAGTTCTAAATATTACTGATACCAGAATAACTCTAATAGTTATTAGATATTATAGTAAGTGATCACAGAACAATAATTTATTATTAATTCTAAAAGCCCATTTATAGTTTATAAGGTATTTCTCCCGCCTTCCTAGCGTGTCCTTGTGGTGTAGTGGTTCTGCACGCTGTGTCGGTATTTCAGAGGTCCGCGGTTCGATTCCCGATGAAGGCGATTGCTAATTTTTCATCTTGCTTGCTTCTAAAAATCCTAATGCTTCTATAAGCTTTATTTTTATATCAGACAGGAAAAATTTGCAGTTTTTATCAAAACGACTGGCGACCTGGCAGTGTACAAAAAACGGCACTGCATGGTTTGAAATGGTACGTATGGTCAGCTTGTACTATGCACAATTCATCTGCAAAACAGTTATATATTTCGCTCATTAAAATGTCTTTTTCTTGAGCAAATTTTCATATCAGAGCAACCAACGGTAATTAAAGATTTACAGTAGCCTCCGCTTCGCTTAATGTGAATGCTGTTAATGTTATTCGGATATTTTTATCGAATTGTCATGATCCCACGCATTTGTATAAAGGAAATATAGAAAATACATCACTTATTGTAATAAACAATTTTGTTAATATAATCAAAATATTATAGAATATTTTTTTCTACTGAAGTAAATTCGGTAAATAAAAGATAAAATTACCAAATTAATTCAAAACTGATTATAAAAGGGGTCAAATGACAAAGAACTATCACTGAGGGATTAATTCGTCAAACAGCTTGGTTTCGATTTCAGTCGGCCATTTAAAATCATTCAAAAGAAATTCTGTTAAAAATTTCGTTTGATGTAGATTTTCAATAATTCTATTAATTTTGAGGGCAGTCAGACCCGGGTCCCGCTTCTTTAGAAGCCAAAAAATAATTAATAATTGTGCCGATTTTTTTTTTTTTTTTTTTTTTTTTTTTTTTTTTTTTCTGAACACATGCCTGCTAAACTAAGTTTGTATTTTTATCTAATTTTAACTTCTACACTGCGCAAAAAAAAGGGGAAAAGTTCTGTGTCTCCCGTTCTATTGGGCCAATTTACAAAATTCAACTTGCTTCATCCATGTCTCGGAAGCGCGACTTAGGATATGTATTAAATTTATATATAGCATTGTTCTAATGCAGGTATTTTAACATAAAATCGGACATTTTCTGAAATGACATGCAAAATTTTTTTCCAAATTTCCATTCTATGACTCAAATTATGGCAAGTTTTGTAAAAATCGCACGAGTAGTTTTTAGAAAATTAGCTCTTAAAATTTTAGCTCATCAATGTTAATTGAATTTGATATATATTTAATAATATCTCTTTTTTTATTAAACTTATTTGATTCTTTCTTTGATATGTCGAAATTTAGGTTCATTCCAAAAAAAAATCCACCCACTTTTTATGATTTATTTTTTTAATTTGTATTTTTAAATAATTTTTTATAAATTTTTCGAAAAACATTTTGGACTATAATCTATAAAATTTTTAACATCATCCTAAAGTAAATGTATTTCTAAGCATAACTGCAAAAATTTTACAGTTTTTTATTCAAAATTTCCGAAGATATACGTGAATATATATATTGGCGGGTTTTGAAATTTTGCATATTTGTTGAAAGCGATAATAATATCAAATGTGGTTTAGGCACTTTGTTAAAATTATTTGAAAGAAGAAACAATGTGACTTTTTTTCCGCTCCTGTACAATGGAAGGGAAAGGAAAATAGGTTGCCATATATTAAGAAATTCGCCAAATGAATTATTCTTGGTGCAAACTGAAAAAAAAATGCATCAAGTTACGCTTTTAAATTTCTCCGTAAATTTCGCGCCAAATTTTACAAAATTTAATGTTGAGGCATAATTTGAGCCGTAGAATCGAAATGTGGAAAACAATTGGTATGTTTTCAGAAAAAGTCCGATTTTGTATCAAACTACCTATGTTAGAAAAATGCTATATATAAATCTAATATATATCCTAAGTCGCGCTTACAAGACATGAGAAACGAAATTTGAATTTCGTCAATCGGCCCAGTAGAACCGGAGATATAGAACTGCCCCCCCCGTCTTTCCCTCCCCTCCGCAGTGTACATTGGCACGTTCTCTTCCAGTGAGAAATTCCTTCCGAGTGTTAAGGTTAGGGTAACAGAATCGATCAAATAATTTCCGGGCACGTTATGAAGAGTCCATAAATGAACTTTTGAATTAAATATATTATGAACATGCTTCGCAATTTCTTAGTTAAAATGCTGTAAAGTACGTACCTACTTACATGTTTCTAAAAAAAACAAGAATGAAACTTTAAAATTAGTGAATTTTAAATTTATTTCAATGATTTAAAAAGTAAAATTACGAAAAATTATTTCTTCAAAGATAATATTTAATTTAATAGAGAAAATACAGAATATATTGTACAGACATTTAGGTTATTTCGAAGCAGGAGAGATGAAAAATGAATAATACCCTCGCCGGGACTCGAACCACTGATCTCTCAACTACTTCGAGCGGGCTGACCACTACATAACAAAGGTATGCTAAGATGGTGGGAAAAATACCTTATATAGTGCCCCTTTTAAAGGGCGACTTGGGATTAGGGAACCCAATCGCCAAATTCAGGTGGTGGAAAATCATCATCCACCACCTTATTTAGTTCGGGCGTCACTCTAGAGACATTAGGAACTGAGAGAGATGAAAAATGAGCAATGCCCTCTACGGAACTCGAACTACGGACTTCTCGAATACGCGTGAGCGTGCTGACCACTACACCCAGAAGGCCTTCCTGGTGTAGTGGCGGGAGATATACCTTATAATATGAATGAAAATTATTCCCCATGAAATATGAAGTGAAATTTAGAAAGCAAATGTGTACTATTATGGTAATTATTATTTGTAATCTTTAAATAATCACAATGGAATTGTTAATTAAAATGCAAAGCTGAAGAATAAGCTAAGCGAATTATTGCTGATTCCTCAGAAAGATCTGCACTTATCAAGGGGAACTGGAACATTCTTAGACAACCATCAATAATTCATGAAAAGCACCTTTCATCATCTCATATATCTGAACAAATCCCTTTTCCAATTTTACATTTCTAATCAATTTTATAATTTCCGAATTTAAATCTTAAAAATTCAAATATGGGAAATAATTCTCCGACTCGCGGATGGATAATTAATTACAGTTAATTTCAAAAATAAATGTAGTAATCATACCAAAAATACTTAAAACTAATATATAATGAAAAAAGTATGAAAAACTGAAATAAAAACAAGAGGCAAATAAAAAGAAAAAACAAACAAATAAAATTCATATAAACCTGAAACGTTTTACACATAAATTTTCAGTTGCATTATTATTATTATATTTCTTGTTACATTCTATATTTATATATATTTCTAGTCACATTATTAGCATACAATTTAATACATCAATATTTGCATTAAATCCGTTCAATTTTTTGTTATTTTAAGGATATTTTTCTCATCGTTTAATGCTATCGTTCCGTTAATGTTGTCAAAATTAGCAGTGGGCAAACATAATCAAACTAAGCGATGCCTAATGTAGCACTTTTCACTGACGAATACAACACCGAAATAATGTTTTCAAAAAGACTTCTTCGTTTTTATCTCAGCGATTTTCCAATCATAAATAGCTTTCGCTTCCGGATTTAGGTGGTGCTTGATATTAAACATCTTAAAGTGAATTGCAAAAAATAGATTTTAATTTATAGGTATTTATGGAAATCATATTGCATCTGCTTTCATGCGAGAAAAGATACACTTCCTGCTGTCACGAAAATAGCAAAATGATTCCAAACGACTATTTCCGAATGACATTCGTCGGAGCAAGAAATTAGGAACTTCCTATCTGTTCCGTTTCCATTAGGTACTTTCATCACTATAGCAAGGAATGTATCCTTAAAAAAAGGAAACTGTTAACGCGATTCAAAGTTTACTCAGTAGGATTTCGAAGTGCTCGGATAAGGAATATTTTTTATGATTTGTTTTAATCTTCTAGTGTTCGATTCGTGGAGAGTAATAAAAAAAAAGGTGGGAATAGGGAGGTGGCGCTTCCTCGTGAAGATAGCTCCCTGCACGATCACGTTTTTTCCCTCTTCGAGTTATGACTTAAGAACTGCAACCGCGAGCGGTAGAAAGTCATTCTTTCACTCGATTTCAGTCATTAAAGATAGAATTCTCTACTCTTGGATTTAATTTTTTGGAACCTTTGTTGGTAAACAAAGAGGTAAGATTTCTCATTCTCATTTTCTTGTAATATTGCATCAGAAATTAAATTCTAAACTGAGGATAACTGGGAAAATTTATATAATTTCGCAATGAAAAGTATTTGGAACAGAAAATTATATATACTATACTTTTAGCATATTTCGATAGCAATTTTGATTCGATTATGATGGTTTGTTTAAACTGCAATTAATATATTTAACAAAAATTTCACGTAATAGTAATACCACTAATGACTTAATGATCTAATAGTAAAAAAAAATGCTTAATGATTGTGTTTACCTGATTCAGTTCCAAATGAAACTTCAAAAGATAAAAAGCAAGAAAATATAGTTGAAAAGTAATTTTATGTTTCGTGTTTTGCTTCCATTAATATTTTCTTGCGTTATCTGATTCAAAATTTTTTCTTAAAAAGTCTTCTATTTCAATATTTCCATTTTTCATAAAAATATTAAAGAAAATATTAAATAAGCGTTAATGATATTGATTGTTTTAATGTACTCAACAATATTACATTTTACAGACTGATCTTTATTAATAATTATTATTAAAAAATAATCAAGTTAAGAAAAAATAATATAAATTGTAACTTAAAATTAAAAGCAGGAAACAAAATAATTCAGTTCTCTAATTCGTATTCTCATTATTCTTAGCTTTATCACGATCAATATTCTTATTATTATATAAATCCGCATACTGATATTAAAAATATTTTTTAATGTTATTCAATAGACAATAATGGCGCTGCGTATTTAACAAAGTTCTACAATTAGTTTAAAAGCCGCATCTAAATTTCTACATGTATGATTCAATGGCATTTCTGTCTAAACCAACATTCAATCCAGTTTAAGAATAATTTATTAGCATACCAAATAAACTGATCTAATCTAGAATCTATTTAACATCTCTTTAGTAGCTTCCTGCGTCGAACAAATCGAAGTTCTAAAGTTTAAGTTTTTGGCACTTAGTGTTCTCTAAATGAATGAGTTTTTACTGATTTTTGTGTTCCCATTCAGAGGCCGAGAAAAGTGTCTATTCAAACCAGAATAAAACTAATATTAATTTTTATACATAACTTGTAAAATATTTTTATGAGTCAATAACAAAAGCGTAACGTCTAAATTTATATACACGGGAATGTAACTGTTATTTTCTCTCCAGAATTGATTTAAGTCAAAAAATATAATCAGAAACTGTATTATCTTCATAAAATTAACTCACACATTGCACTGTTTTCGTAATTTTTTATTTTTTAGTTATTATCACCCTTTCATCGTTTTTCTATCTAATAACATTTTATAGAATATTATCTAAGGAGAAAATAAAAAAAATAAGAGAATATAAAAATGTAGTCAACAATTAATTTTCCAGTTTTTTTTTTTTTTTTTTTTTTTTTTTTTTTTTTTTAAGTAGTCGAACTTTATAAGTAGTAAGTTTTTTCCCAGACTTTCTTAAATACTAATTCTTCGCGTTACTTAATAAAAATACTAATTAAAGCATCAATATGTAGAATATATTCATTAAAATTAAGATAAAGGGAAGATAAGTTAGTGACGAACTAATTTTTTCATTCGTAAAAGTTATACTTTTTATCATCTATCGCAGATGTCACATACAGATTTGGCAATTAAAATGTGTGGCTTTATATAGCATGCTACTATTTTACTCATTGACTGAATATTCCAATAAAAAAAGATGATATCTAAATTTAAATTAAATATATAACATAATCAAATCGATAGCCAACATAAAATTACGCGTAATTTATGAAAAAATAATTAACTTAAAAATAATTATATTCGGAAGATGTCACTTTTAAATTTAGTAAAATTACTGGCAGTTAAGCTAGAATATTTATTGAAATTGATTTTTTCGTCTAAAAATTAAACGTTCATCAGAATTGTTTATTTTTAATACAAATTGTGAAAAAATCAGTTTTAACTTATGTTTAGATGCAGGCATTGCGAAACATTATTAACGAAAGACACAGGGATATTTAATACAATACTTTTAGTATAATTTATTACTAATGTTTCTTACTTATAGATACGTTATGACTACTAACATCCTTTTTTTTATATTCGCGGTGTTTTTGAAAGCTAACCTAGCATTAAAAATTCCATAATTTTCCCATTGCCTAAAACTTTTCAGAGTCTTCCGTCATGAGTAATTTTATTTAATTAAAAAACTCGCTTATGAATCTAAAAATATAGGCTATTTTTCGTGAAGAAATTTTTAGATGCAATTAGTTTATATATGAAATATCATTTAAAAAAATTAATTCATAATAATTTGCTGAAAAATACTGAACATAATGCTGAAAAATACTGAACAGAGCAGAAAAATGATAGAGAGACTGTGATAGATTCATAAAAATGACGTTTAATTTATCAATTTGTTTACGAAGTTAAAATATGGAAATGAAAATTAAATTTTAAACAAATCTGTGGTGGACTTCCACCACAGATTTTTTTGCGCTACTATTAAATTATGCACAATTTTCTGAACTTCATTTAAATTTTTTCCTCGAATTATTCTAACTTAATCAACCGATCCCTCGAGGCAAGTTGAAAATGACATCAAAAATTGCAAATTTTAAAATTAAATACACAAGTCAATTTTTGTCGTACGGGAGTCAAAATTCCTGTATTTTTATTTTTTCCTACCGAGCATACAACTTTCCAAAATATAAATATCAGAACCTAGAGATAGCATTAAAAGTTAAAAAAAAGTTCCCCAAAAAGGTGTTATAGCAGTCCCGTATACAAATTTTCCATTCATCTACGGTTAATAGGTTTTTAGTTATGCGAGGTAGTACGTACGTACAGACGCCACGAAAAAATCCATTTTGAATCCGTTTTACAATCTATTTTGGAATAAAGAATCCTTTAGCCTGTCCGCAAGTACAGACTTTATTCAGAAAAATAGTCAAACTTTATTCGGGAACGATCAAAATTGATACTTCCGTTGAAATCTAGAACCCGAAATTTTTCGTGATTACATACTTCTTTTACTTCAATTTAGATTACATAAAATACTTTTTTTTTCCTTCTGTTAAACTCCATTTTCATAAATACTGAATATTATAATTCGATTAAAAATTGCATTTCTTCATACTGTTATACTAATAATATTTACTAGGCCTGATGAGCTATTCGTGCTCTGTATGTAGCCATTTTCGCTTCATATGTAATGTTAATTTTAACCTGCACAAAGGGAAAGGTTGACTGACTGCATTTCATTTCACCCATGTCGGCTGAGCTGCTCGTTTGTAATATTTAATCTCCTACACACTGTTAACGAGCAAAAAATTACCGAGCTAGAGGAAAGTCCACCATTTAAAAAGCTATTTGTTTTAAGGAAAAACTGCTGCTTTTTTTCAATGTAAGTTAATATGATTTTAGTTTCATTGGCTATTAAAATAATAAAATTATTATTATTATTTAAAGCAGTTTAATTTTATTCTGTATTCCAAACTCCTTCTTAAATATATACTTGTAAATTTTCCAGTACATATGAAAAATGCTGACATTGCTTCAGGAAAAGGAAAGGTCATGTTACTATACTAATCGAATGTTTAAAAGTGTCTCGAAATCGAATGTTCTTACTTTTGGTCTAACAAAAGTTAGGAGCTGCCATATAAAAATAATTAGTTAGCCGATAGAATATATAATACGTTTTGCAGATTAAAAATTGTTATCTGATGTGAAGAGCACCACATAACTCCCTTGTACATTACACACATTTTTTTGCTGCATTTCATTTAAATTTGCTTCCTCAAATTTCATTAGAAATATATTTCTTATTCAATTAATTCAGTTCTCACTTCGTGATAAGGCAAAAATACATGAACATTCAAATCATCTTCATTAAAAATTATAAAATACAGAAAAACATAAAACACCGAACACAGATAAAAAAATAATTTGTATTATTAAAATTAGAGATTCTAATTAAAAACCAGCAATTCCACCAGGGCAGGAATATAGATTTTTCGCTGAGTAAACTGAAAATTAATTTTGATCCCGCTTGGCATAAGACGCTGAACATGGTGCATACACTGACTTAATTCACAATCTTACTAAGAATTTCAAATGTAAACAAATAGCGACTACATTAGGCTTAGTACCACTTAAATAACTTTTAAGGTGCTGATAATTCTACAACTATTGCAGATAGATTAACATGGAGCCTTAACCTCCAGATTAAAAACCTTAACCTGGAGCATAAGAACAACAGAATTCAATCACTTTAAAGCAGCAAAGTCTTCACGTGTGGCGACATTTTCATAAGAGTAAAAACTGAGCTCATCGATGCGGTTAACAGAGTGGATATATATACGTCTGGTGAGGAGGATTGCAAACAATTATATTGTAGCCTCATATACAAAATTTAAACATTCTGAGACTACTCGTTTTTGAGGTATTCAAGATACATACATCACGAAAAATATCTCTTTTGAATCCATTTTAAATCTATTTTACAATCCGTTTTGGAACTTAAATATGTCCTTACGTACAAATGTCAAGCAAGAACAGCGTTCAAATGGATTCGAGAGCGGTCAAAATGGATATTTTCATTGAAACTATACCCGAAATTTTTCGTGATTACAATACTTCCTTTATTTCGTAGAAGAAAGTAAAAAAGGACAGTTTTTACTGTGGCTCTATGGTAAATACGTTTAATTTTAAACCTATATAGTGTATAGAAGATTATTCGCATAGGTAATTTTCCTCTCCTCTTGCGGATAGCCTTCACAACCATATTTAAATAAGTCAACCGAACCTTTAATTTCATGCTGTTTGACTAAATTATGTAAAAAAATAAAAACGACATACTTATAAGGACTATTAAAAAAAGAGAGAGACAGTGAGCAAATTTCACTTTTTAGCATTTTTCTCGTTACATTACAGAATCGCACCATATACCATAAAGACAATTCTAATCAGAATTGAATTTCGAATTACTGTACAAATGTTCGTTTTAACTTGCTGAATTGTC